GAGGGAGCGGAGGAGCTGCCATGAGCTACACACAAATGCAAGCAAACCAAGGGACGTATTAAACACCAAAAGCAAACAGGCTGCAGATGGACTTTCGGCTTTCATTTGTCAAGTTTTGTTTCACGAGGGCAATTTATGAGGACATTTTGTTGTGGTCAGGCATGTCAGTGTGCGTGGGGAGCAGCAGCTGGTTCATCCCCGCTCCAGCCGTCCCCTGTGGGGTTTAAGCCACCCTGGGGATGCTGAAGCAGGTGGTTTGGCTTGGAGCCGGGCAGGGGAGCCCAAGGGCACTGGCAAGGCTGGAGACCTACTAATTACTTTCTTATTAGCATCTAATTAGTATCTCTCCACTTCCTCCCCTCTCCCAAGGGCTCTGCCTCTGCCAGGAGTCACCTCACGCCCAGTCAAACCCCAGGGGATGATTTTCCACCCCGGCTCCATCCTGGTGTTACAATGTCTCCCTGCCCCCAGAGCTTTGTAGCAGACTCCTTGGTATTGCTGATGATAATTAGCAAAATATTTACAGATTCCTTCTCTGGAACATCAGGATGAAGGAGGATCCTTCCTTTGGGGCAGGCAGATGTTTGTGAGCTCTCACAGCTGGCTCCAGCAGCAGGGGTGTGCAGGGTGCCCAATTTCAGCCATGCCAGATCCTGGGTGCTGCAAGGGCTCCTCCCTTCTTCCAGCATATCCACTGCAGGTGGGTAACCTCCTCTTGTGGTCAAGCATTTTGGCTGACCCCAGCTCAGACCAGTCCCCTGCCCTCCCATCCACACCTGCTCCTCTCTCTCCCCAGCTAGTTGTGTTTGGGTTGAATCCAGCAGGAATCTGGACCCTCCTGTGGTTTCTTTTGCTCTAAACAGAGGCCATTGACTTCAGGATGGGGTTCCAGGATGGGAGAGAGGCTCAAACAACACACAGTGCCAGGTCCCCATCGGCAAGACCTGAGCCCCAAGGTACCTCCCCAACCCCAGGCAAGCAGGAAATTTGGAGGGAACTGGGGGAAGCCATTGCTCAGTGACCAAATGGAGGTTGCAGTGTGATAGTATTTAATTACCTGCATGTATCAGATGATTAACAAGCTAAATTCCACCCTTGGGGCTGCTGTCCTAAAGTCCATGCAGAGCTTGGCAGGCAGCATCCAGACATTTCACTGTGTCCACCTGGGACCAGCAGCCCTCCCACAACACATGGTCCCCAAAGGCTCTGAAAATGCATTGCAGGGTGTAGTCAGTGACCATAAGCTGTCTAAGATGTGAGCAAGTCACCTCCAAAATTGTTTCCTGCTGGTCTCAACCCTTTGGAAAGGCTCTGCCAAGGAAGCTGCCAAGCCCAGGACAGATGCACCACATGGCCCAGGGACAAGACGGGTGCTGTCTGCTGGCCCAGTTGCTCCCATGCTCCTGCATGTCCAGCTAAGACAAAATTTAGAAGAGATCTGGGTTTTGCTTTTCATTCTTCTGGCATTCTCCTGGTACAGCAGATCTTCCCACTGCACTGAGCTCTCTGCTGCAGGGCATCAGTGTGTTTAGCATCTGCTTAAAATTTTTAATTGTTTTCATTATAAGGGCCTGGTGGTGTCTTTTAGATAGAAATGGGAAGGATTTGGCCTTCTGTCCCTTTCTATTTCCCACCCTCCCAACTCCTCCTTTTTCTCTCCCTTCCTCCATTTCTTCCTTCCTTTCATCTTTCCTCTCTTCCTCCCTTTCCTTCTCTTCTTCCCCGCCAAAAATTCCCTGATTTCTTCCCTAATGCATTGACAAAACCCCCACTCAGTTTCAGGCAGCAGCAGGCAAGGAGAAACTCAACGATAAGGGCAAAAACAACAGTAAAACTGGAATGAAATGACAGCCATAAACCTGGTACCAGGAGGAACAGTAAAACTGCACTTTGGCAGGAGCCAGCAGGCTTGGACTCATAACTTTTTTTCTGATTAAAACACTCTGGTCACAGATTAACTTCTTTTGTTCAATATTTATTGTCTCACCTGCACTGGAAAGCAGGGAGGAGAGGAAGAGGGGTAGGCAGGACTGGGGACTCAGGATCTGCAGCATGTCTGCAGCTCTGCAGCCTTTGGCAGCTGCCAAGGACATGGACATGTAACCAAAGGTCACGTACCTGCCTCCAGCACTTGCCTCTACCATTAAGTGCTCATTACAAATGGTGCCTGCGCACCAGGGCAGCATCCCAGACCAGCATCCCAGGACTCAACAGCTTGGGGTGCTCTGGGTTTCCCAAACAAGTAGGACAGGAATTATGATGGAGACAGCCACTGCTACAACTTGTGCAAGCACACTGGTTTGTCTTTTTGGAGACAAAACCCCAGGAGCTTTAGGAAAACCATGTCCCTTGGCAGATTGACCCATTTCTTTCAGTGGCATCAGAAAATGGAATTGAAATGAGAATAAATTCCTGGCCATACCCCCACAAGCATCTCTACATCTCCACATTCTCCACTGGACTTATCCTTTGCTCCTTGCAGAGCATGGGATGTGCCAGCCCAGTGCAGAAGCACTGCATCCCTTTTCTAATCCCTCACAGACCTATTAACGCACCCCAGAGGGTGCAAACACCTCCAAGGGACCTTGATGTGTTTTTAATTCATTAACTCCATGCTTGAGCTTAGCCTTAGCTCCTCTTGCTCTCCCCATCCCCCACCCTGCTCACTCCTCCAGAGCAGCTCAGGGCAGGAATTGCAGATGCTGGGGGATGTGGAGTCAGGAAAAGGATTACCCAGTCACAGGGACGCCCAGGATCTCTGACAGCTACCCTGCAGAAACACAATGGCATTGAGGAACCCAGTTCCTACAGGGAATTCCAACAGGCCTCAGTTTCCCTTTGATGCTCCCAGGTCAAGAGCAACAGCTGGGTACCCCACAGCCCCACCACTCCCCCATCCCTCACCCAGCTAGACTTTTTAATCTCTCTGCCCTAAATCACTTTTTAATTACAACTGGACTGTAACCACTAAAATGTAAAAGGCTTTGGGGCTCTGCAGCACACCAGTAATGGTTCCTATGAATTGCAATGCCCTTCCATCCACAGTAGCTCTGTTTGCACCAGACTGATGCCTCCTTGTGCTATAGGAAAGCTTCATTGCTCCCTTCCAGCCTTTCACACCTCCATGCACAAGCTAAAAATATCAGGGCAAGAGGAGGTGGACCTGTTGGGAGGAAGTGGGAAGCTCAGTATAGCCCTGTTCTCACATCTGGCTGTATCCCCTGCTCCTCCTCTAACTGCTGCTGGTTTCCACCCTGAGTTTTTCAGATTTGAGAGGGGGTGTTTAATTTTTATTTAAAAAATATAAAATCAATTCTCAGGCCATCTCAGACACTTTTTTAGCAGCAGCTGAACTACAGGAGCCACTACCGGCAGCAGAGGGCATCCCGAAACCGGCACTCCTCAGCACGCACTGCCTCCCCAGCCTCCGCCCTAAATCACAACACAACAAACGGGCTGTTCATTAGCTGCTGTTTAATTAAGCAATATGGATCCTGCCTCGATATTTACAATCGCACTTGCTCTGATTTACTGGAGAGAGCCTCGTTTCTAAAGACGGCGACTGTAAAGTTTAATACCGCTTGACTTAACTGCGAGTTTCATTTACGGCCCCGGGCCGAGGCGCGGCAGCCCGGCCTGGGAGCCGGCGGGCTATTAAATCAGAGCTAACTGCGCGTGCAGGGAGATGACGAGCTTCGTTACAACCGGTTCAGCGGCTAATTACCCCAATCTGGATTGCCACATTTAAACCAATTTGTTGCCGCTTTCCCGGGACCCTGGAGACACGCGTGGTAATTCAGAGGCTGGCATGCAGGCACTGGTTGCAATGATAAGGGACGAGGGGCTGCGATCGGGCGGGTCGCAGAGCCCAGACGGACACTGCTCGTCCCAGGAGAGAAGAAATCACTCTGCAAGAGGCCAGATTCAGAGCCGGGCAACCCCTATACCGTGCGCAGGGGCGTTGTGTACAATGATGGCTCCAGCTCCTCCCCAAAACCCTGGGGCACCTGGGGAGCCATGAGGTCAGTTTGGGATGCTTTGTGGATTCAGGGATGGGGAAATCCAGGCAGAAGGACAGGACCAGCACGTAGCAGAGCATCCAGCCTGCCAGCCAGTGGCTTTCAGTGCCCTTCTGCCTCCCCCAGCCCCATGGATAGGGATGCACAGGTGGGACAGAGGGAACACAGCCCTCCTCACAAACTCTTGTGTTGTAGGTAGGAGGAGAGCGTTTCTCTCCTTGCAATGTACCTCCAGCTCTCAGGAGCTCACTTACAGACTTGACAATGGTAGGGGTCTCATTAGAGAGTTGTGAGAACGGTTCTTTAGTGACAAATAAAAACTATTTGTGCAAAGACATGATAGTACACAGCACAGCATCCTCCCCCACGTCAGCTGTGGTGGCATCACTGTCCACAACCTACCCCTGCACAGCCCCGGGGCTTTCCTGGAGGGAAGGGCTGCAAGGGAGGAGAGCAAAAACAGGTGAATACAGCATCCCTCAGCTCAGCTCAGGGACCAGGATGCTGCTATCCCACACCACGTGCAGCCACAGGGAAGGATAAAAGGGGCAGCAACAGCACCACGAAGACAGCTGACCCACCAGTGCCTGGATGCATCTCGGCAGCCCCAGCAATCACAGCAGGCACCATGAGGGCTGCAAGCCAGCAGTCCCAGGCAGAGGATGAAGAGGAACAGCTCCAGGGCTGACCATTCCAGCCAGCAGCTTCCATGCAGTGAGTTAGCCAGGACTCAGTCCTCTCCCAGGAGCTCGCTAAGCCTTGGTCTACATCCATTCCTCTCCGCTTCCCACTCCTCCCCAAGCCTGCAGCACTCAGAGACGGACTCAGAGCTCCCCCCATGGAGGAAGAGGAGGCAGCACAGAGGCAGGACCAGGAATAAGAGGCATGGGGGTGCCAGTACATCTCCTGCAGCCACCAGTGTCACCCACCCCCCCAACAGTTGGGGGTCCCCACGAGAGACCCTAAACCTCCCACCCAGGGCTGAGAGCCACAACGGCACAAGCAGAGGGGCTTTTGTTTCCAGATTTTATTGTCCGGGGTCGGGGGAGGGTATGTCCCTCCACAGGGAAGGAAGAACTCCCAATCCCACCAGTGAGACTGGACCGGTAAGGAATGTAAGCCCTTTGGTGGTGGTAGGAGCATGCTGCGGAGGCACAGACAGAGCCAGGATAGTGAAGGAGACAAGGAACAGCACCACCTATGTGAGGATGCCACAGGATTAGGCCTGGAGTACCTGAACAGTTAAAACCAGTCCCAAAACCCAGACCAGCTGTGACAAGGCTCAGGAGAATCTGGGAGCTGAGAGGGGTCACAAGGCCTCACAAGATCACAAGGAGTTCCCAGGCCTCAGCTCTCAGCACTGCCAGTTGGCTCCTGGCCTTACCAAGCACATAGAATCACAGTCCTCTACCATTAACACAGCACTGCCAAGGCCACTACTAAACCACATCCTCAAGTGCCACATCTACATGTTTTTGAACACTTCCAGGGATGGTGATTCCATCACTTTCCTGGGCAGCCTGTTTCAGTGCCTGACCAACCTTTCAGCAAATTTTCCCCAGCATCCAATCTAAACTTCACCCGGCACAACTTGAGGCTGTTTCCTCTTGTCCTATCACTTGTTACCTGGGAGAAACCTCCTCACCTGGCTACGACCTCCATTCTAGCTGTAGAATGGGGTAAGGTTTCCCCTCACACTCACATATGAGGACCGGCTCCGCTGTTCCCCATCACATCTCCTTGTCCCCTTCTTTGTAGTGCACCTCAGGGAGGCTCCTCAGGCGCTCAGCTGCCTGCAGGGCACAGCACAAAGGGCAGCCAGTGGCTGGTCCCAGAAACAGCCCTAGCACAGGACTCCCTGGTTCCCCCAATCCCCGTGAGCTGCACTCACCTGCTCAGGGGTGAGGTCCCTCTGTGCCTGCGCCAGCATCTCATATCCCACCATGAACTTGCGGACAGTGGCAGAGCGCAGCAGTGGGGGATAGTAGTGGGCGTGGAGCTGCCAGTGCCTGCAGTCCTCCTCCAGGTGGGGGCCTGTGGGGGCTCCTGCCGCAGGTGTAGGTGCTGCGTGAGCCGCGGGAAGGGGACGGGGATGAGAGTGAGGGGATTGTGAGGGTCCCCCAGCCACGCCACTCACCGTGCCAGCCCATCGAGTAGGGGAAGGAGACTTCAAAGAGATTGTCATACTTGATGAGCAGCCTCTTCATGATGGAGGCCAGGCCTGCAGAAGAGTGCCACCCTGAGCTGGCCAAGCCCCTCCGAGGGCAGGCATCATGCCAGGCAATGAGGCGTGTAACCCTCAGCACCTCTCCCTGGGTGGACATCGGTGACAGGCAAGAGGGTTGCACTTGGTAGTTGATGCTCTCCTCATCCATGCAGACAGCACAAGCAAGACCACAGGAGTTCCCTCAAAAGTAGGGAGCACCATCACCCCAAAAAGGACTCTATTCTCACCTGCAGTACTGCCTGTGCCTGGACACCAAGCTTTTATCCCAGCAAAACAGGGGTGTCAGTTCCCTCCTCAGCCAAACCCAGGGGCCTCGTACCCCAGGGGGACATGGACCCTCCAGCACCAGCACAGCTGCCACAGAGCCACCTCCTAATGAAGGTCAAAGCCCAAAGGACATGTGACAGGGGCTAACAAGGATCAGAGCCACTCACTGTCCCTCTCGCCCTCTCTGAGGTCCTGGAGGCGGCAGACGTGGCGGCGGGGCAGCAGCAGGGTCTGATAGGGCCAGGTGGCCCAGTACGGCACCACGACCAGCCAGTCCGCATTCTCCACCACCAGCCTTTCCTGCAGGACATGGTGCTTGATGGGGAATTATGCAATCCCAACGCCCCAGGGCACTCCTGGGGCCCAGCTCTTGGGGGCTGGGGCACATATCCAGCTGCCAGGGAGGGGATATGGACAACAGCCACGTCCTGACCTTTCGGTGAGCCTCCTGCTCAGCGTACTCCAGCAGCATGGGCACACCACGCTGGCTCAGGTGCTCACGCTGGGTCCGGTCCTCCAGGCGCGCCTCGTTAGGGAGGAAGCTGCTGGCCCACACCTGGGAAGCACATTGGGACACGGGGCTGAGGGACTCGCACCCGCCTTTGCAGGGGTACCCCCAGCCACGCTGCCCATCTGCGGGTCCCTGCTGCCACCAGGTGGAGAGTCCAGATTACGGCAGCCACAAGCGACAGTGCCTCCGAGAGAGGCGGTAACTGGACAGGCATGGGGTCTCCTCACTGCATGGAGGAGGGGGGGGAATTGCCGTTCACATCTTCCCCGGGGGTTTGTTGTAGGGTAGCCGACGAGGACTCACGGTTTAGCCAGGTGACAGATTGGACAGCCTCACCTGACAGTGGGGATGCGGGTTGGAGCAGCCCATCATCGCTCCCTTGTTCTCGAAGATCTGCAGAGGAAGAGGTGCAGCCAGCATGTCCCGGCCGCAGGGTCCCCACTGCGAGTTGCTGTGGTGTCCCCAGCAAGGCAGGGAAGCATCCACAGGGGAACAGAGCCTCACGCCCACATGGAAAGGCTCAGCGAGGCACAACATAGGGACAGGGGACCCACACACAACTAGGATGGTCCTAACTCCTGGTGCTGCCAGAGTACCCAGCACTGGCCCCCCACCTCCAGCCAGAAAAGAGCAGCCCCCACCAGTCCCACACCTGCACCCAGGGGTAGGAAGCACCCAGGTCGGTCGCCAGCTCTGCCCACGCATCGATGACAGTCCGGATCTCTGCCAGGGACATGAGGGGCAGCGTCAGGTCTGACCAGGGGTGGAAGCACATCACCTTGCTGTGAAGGAAACACATGTGGCTGGGACTGTGGGTATCTCCAGAGATCCTCACAGTCCTGCTGGGTGCAGTGGAACAAGGGACAGCGACAAGACCTCCAGAATGACCCCAAAATAGCGCAGATGTGCACAGAACAGGCACTGCAAGAGGGGAGCAGGCTCAGTCCAGCATCACCTCGCAGGTTCTGGACAAATTGTGTTCCAGATTCCCTGGAGCCATGGAGGTACTTACCACACACCCCTGGCTGGGGCAGCTCGGAACAAGGGGTGATCACTGTCATCTAGGGAAGAACAGAGAGTAGAGAGGGAGAAGGTGCTGGGGCAGCACCCACGTCTCTCCAGGCCACCTTGCAGCCGCTCCAAGACCCAAGTCTAGGGGTCCCCGGCAGCCTATTCTACCCCCAGAAGTTACCAGGTTCTGGAGCATCAGGCTGCAGCGCAGGGAAGTCATTTGGGAAGACAAAAGTGCCCTCGTACTGGGGGTTCACCTGCCGGGGCAAGAGACGGGATCAGGATGGGAGAGGGTGTTGGGGGAGCCCGGTCCCCTGGGCCCCTTGGTGGTACCTCGCCATTGGCCCGGGTGGCCCCGGGACAGAGGGGGTTCTTGGGGTCCCAGCGGGGTACATCCTCGGGGGGCGGCTTCTCCAGCTGCCCTTGCCAGGGGCGTTTCACCCGGTGGGCCGATACCAGCACCCAGTCGTCCCGCAGAGGGTTGTAACGAGCGTGCTGGTGCTCTGCAGGCAGGGGAGAGCAGCGGGGCGTCAGAGAGGGACGCGGGGGGGCAGATCCCCCTGCAGATGGGTTACACAAACACTCACCTCCCACAAGAGGAGGGCATGCAAGAGACTTTGAACCTTCCCAGCTTCACCCCTTCCTCCCTGTCCCAGTCCGCTACC